GGCGGACAAAAAACGCGGCGCCGACCCCAGCGACGGTTCGTCCCGTCCGAGCAAACAATTGCGCGCAACCCCTAGTGGCCAACCCTTGGCCTCCGCCGGTCTGATTCAGTCTGTCTAATAGGGGATTAGCTTTTAGTAGTTTTATCGCCCCATTCAAAGTCATATTTAGTTAGCGTTCATTTAATCATTAAAAACAATTTATTCATTTATTTGTAAATTATTTTATATGCAAATTTCAATAACAATTATGTGATACACAATGAATATAATATCTCAAGTAATCCGTATGGGTTTTATGTAGCAATTCATTTATTTCTTGTCACCCGATATGACAGCCCATCCAATAGTATAGCATCCGAGTAGTTAAGGTCATACATCCATTCTCATCCATTATCACAGATGCCGGCTATTTATTAACCTGCAAGACAATGAATGAGCTAACTGAAACTTGATATAACAGTATATCAACTCACATTATATTTGTTAAATAGTATAATGACCCTTTTCTTATTCACATTGGTAGCAGACAGTATAAATGCTGTATAAATAATTATGTTATAACTTATAATAGTAATCATTGACTACTAATCATATAACATGTAATACAAAGTGTCCAGTTTACATAAAGTATACTGTATTACACGTAAATTATTGTGATATTGTACTGTATTTGATATTATATTATATGATATTATACAATTACTATTTTTATAGCGTTTAATAATAATCTCAACTTTTTATTGGCTTGTTGTCTCGTTTTCACTATTTTCTAATACTTGTTAAATAGTCTTAAACTTTATAATATAATCATTTTGCATACTTAATGTTATAGATATAATATCATTATGTTTTACGTATTAACATGTATTTTACTTCACATAATAAGTGTATGTTTGGCCATAAATGGGCCCCAATTTTGTGACCATAATTACGTGGACACAATACTATGGGACGGATTGTCATATCGGGTGACCAGAAATGAATGGATAGCCGCGTACGACCCGTACGAGCGCCGGGTTTCCACGTTTTACCACAAAAATCTTATTGACTTTCCCAACAAAATTGGTTAGTTATTGACTACACAATTAAAAAATGATAACAACTAAACAAATAATTATGTTTCACATAAGTTTAATATAAATTTGATTAACTATCATATTAAGCTATCTAGATATAAAAATTATATAATGTTTTACCACATTTCTAACACTATGTAACTTATTTAAACAGATCGCGGCTACTACTATCAATCGGGTTACCACATACCTAGCGTACCGGCCGACTGTCAGCCGCGACATTCATTGACCTGCGAGATAATGAACAAGTTAATCGGACTTACAGTATACACTATACGGGACACTATATCGGGTGAGATAGTACACAGAGTGGACAGGACTACAGACTCTCTGCGAGCCCTCCCGGAGCGAAACGTACTGTACTTTTTTGACAGC